CAAAAACTCTTTGAAAAAGCCTATTTCATTTTCAGATTGTCTAGTCAGGCATGGTTTGGCCAGCCAGTTCTGACAAATGGAAAGTGCCCTGAGCCTATACTATGACAGCTGCTTCTAACTTACATTCGTTTCTTGTCCACTACTCTCTTTACCCTGATTGCTCTCTGTTCACTGTACAGTCTGCAAACAACTACCGGTAAGAGGAAAAAAATACAAAGTTTTTTTATTACAAATGACAAACAGAAGTGTGAAGTGGAATCCCTACTCCAGAAACGCCTGGGTGGAAGAATCCTTGTAAATTAGACAGTGGGCTTAATTTGCATAGGTGAAGGTGGGACTGAAGCTGTTGGGATAGTGATAAGGTTCAAGTCACAGCTGGACCTTTATTCATGCCTGCACACCTGTAACAGAATAACTTAAGTCCTACAAGAAATTTGTTTCAATTCTTGAGAGGCTAGATTAAAAAACCCTGAGGTAAAAGTGAGGGTACATATATGTTTAACTACAACAGGAAGCTTGTGTACAATGTATAAAGTTTTGATTTGAATAACCAGGAGGCTCAAGAAACCAAGGAGTTTTGGAATACATGTACACTGTTGGTTTATGTCACTTAGAATAAATGCATACTTTTTTCTGACACCTACCAAGACCTTAGCAAATAAACAAATAAAATAATTTATAAAATTTGTTTTTTAAAATTTATTTTTCACTCCCATAAAATGGTTATNCAAGAAACCAAGGAGTTTTGGAATACATGTACACTGTTGGTTTATGTCACTTAGAATAAATGCATACTTTTTTCTGACACCTACCAAGACCTTAGCAAATAAACAAATAAAATAATTTATAAAATTTGTTTTTTAAAATTTATTTTTCACTCCCATAAAATGGTTATTCCAGGGCTGTCAACTCTCCTGGATAATCTGGGAGACTCTAGATTTTGAACTGTTTCTCCCAGTCTCCAGATTAGAGTCTGATTATCTCCCGGATAATCACTGAAGTTTGCCATTGCTTGTAGATTCGACTTTCTGACAATGAGATTTCAAACTGTTAACATTGAACGTTTCCTCACAAACTCCAATATGCCGTTGTGAAAGCAATAATATGATTGGTGGGAAGTAAACCAACTAGGTCAAATGTTACAATTCCAACAACATCTTTTTCGCGCATTTTTTTTTTCACAAATGACATCATCTATCATCTCTTCCCCATCAATTTTCAATATTTGATGATGTGGTGAGGTTGACAGCCCCATTATTCTATAACAATTAAATTGAAAAACTATAAATATCTAAAAACTATCCTGGCTAGTATAAAAAGAGTCTAAGTTTAAAAGGTTCTATGTAACTATAATATTCTTCCAAGCATGACTCTTAAGAGCAGCCTTAATCAAATTATTCACATTTGTTAGAGTCTGAGGTATTATTCATTCCAAAGCTGAGTGGCTCTGTATACAAATGACTGTTGGCCGGTAACTGATCTGAACAGCGGTACATCCAACTTGTTTCTGTGCCTAGTACACTGAATTTGCTGTGCAGATATGCTGTGGCTAGTCCGTGCAAACATTTAAATGACATTACAGCATCTCTGACTACAAGTTGCCAAGCAGCTGGCAACCATTGGAGTTGCTTTAATATGGGGGTGATGCAGTCAAATTTTCTTGCCCCGGTTTCAGCCCTAGCCACAACATTTTGCACTTTCTCAAGTTGAGCAAGCAGTAGTCAAGAAACAGGCCAAAAAACCTCATTTTACAGAAACTGTTTTACAACTTCTTACTGGGTTTTTGAGTAAGTGAAAAATGATTACAAGGTTGAGGTACATGTAATCAGGGGTTCAATAAGCACCGACGGCAGATGAAACACATCGCCTACTTTGCTCGTAGAGGTCAGCTACTTTTTTCTAGAAAGAAGAAGCAACTAGTTTGAATAACGTTGTTATCCAAAAATATATCATAAAATCTGAATGAAAACGTAATTATTATGTGTTTTCATAATACAAAGGCCCACTGGTTTTACGTCATGCTTTAGTTATGTGAACTCTACATTTCAGTCATTTTTTCACAAGTTTCGTTATAGGTTTAAAAAAGTACGTAATTTAATTCATTTGTTCGTTGCTTGCACGAATTGATTTTGTGACTGATAAATATTGAAAGCTACATTTTCTTGAATGAAAAACACACTCTTCTGTCCTCAATTTTAGTCCCCAGAATGCTGAAAATCACATTTTAGGGCTTTGAAGTTTCAAAATTTTCTGGGGCAGAACACACCCAGACCCCCTTCCCCCACCCCCCTAGAAAAAGGGGACTAACGACCCCTTGTTGATACAGTCGGTTACTTTATTCAAACCTGCTGCCTACTTCAATTTTTATTGAAACCTCTGTGTAATACATGTATCTCAACCTTGTAATCATTCATCAACTTTAATACATCTCCACTTCCTTTGTCCCGTAAGTAAAATCGAGCCAATTTTATCATCAGTTTATTAACACATTGTGCTATACATTCAAGCCCAGTTATTCAAACGGACTTTTCAAAATATTTTATAAAAAGAAAGACATTAAAAGCTTGCCTTTTAAGTACTGTCCGAGCATTCCAAGCACAGCATCTCTGTGAGTCATCACTTGATCACTTCTCTTATGCTGCATTGCTATCAAAAATAACACATTGTTGCTTTAATTTATTCTACTTAGTTGCAGCAGTTTCTCTCTGGTAAAAGTTCATCATAATCTTATGCTAACATCACAACGATTAATTAAATTGCTCCAAGAGAAAAGTTCCCTGGCCACTCAATTCCTTTTTGGAGAGGACGCTTTACCACCTTGCCCCACAACCAGCGTGCAAAGAAAGTTGTGTCCGATAGCCTGGGGCTAGTGGATTTTGCAATCAGGCTAGTGAAGTGTGTTCTTAACTTGCCGAAGGGTAAGTGAAGTTTTTTGGGAAATTCAAATTAAAGAAGAACTGTAATCAATGCTGCTTATGAAAAACATTTCTGGGCTAGTTAAAAAGACTCTTGGGCTAGTCATACTAGCAGCAACTTGCCCGAATGGCAAGCCGTAAAACTGACTTTCTTTGCACCCTGACAACAGTCACAAGATATAAAATGTTGATTGTTTTAAAACAAATTAATCAAACTGGCTACCCAACTACTGAAATTTGGATGCACAGACAACATCTCAAGGCTTAATACCCAGAGAGCCTGCAGGGTGAAAGAGAAAATAATTATATTTCAAAGAAGATGGACTACAAGTAATATCTAGGGCAAATTTTTCAAGATTTCAAATGAACATTAGAAAGAACACAAAAACAAACTATTAAAATCATCAACTTGTACATTTACAGGTACATGTACACCACCAAAAACACATCACTTAATAGTGAATTGGTGACATTTGATTCAATTTTTGTCCCAAAATTTTGTTCTTCTTGCCATGGCAACCAACACGG